AGTTTTTATAGTCTTGAATAGGATAGCGATAAGAAACTAAAATCATTATATTATATTTTATATAACTAAAATTATAATTATCCATGGGTATATTGGTATAATTTACATGCCAGTATATCCAAATGATTTAATTTTAGTTTATTTGGCCTGCACTCCTTAAAGGCAGAAAACAGAAAAAGTGATTTGGTACATAGGTCAAACCTGGGGAAAATGTTTTTGCTTAAATAGCTGTGTGTAGATAGCACGTATAAAAATTGATGCCTTTGGCTTTCATTGAGAACATTTTTTTTTTCCTGAAGGTCCTAAATGTGTTTTTTGTTTGCCTAGAGTAAAATACATTTGTCTATAGAAATGAGGGTGAAATATAAAATATTCAAGATATGCTATTTGCATTAAAGTGATAGTTCACCCAAAAGTGAACATTTGCACACCATTTTCTTTTTCTGCTGAACCCAAAAGATGATGTTTTGAAGAAAGCGAAAAAAAGTAACCATTGAATTGGAAAGAAATAATATGAAAGTCATGTTTACATGTTTCAAACATAAAAATAACTTCTATTGTGTTCAACAGAAAAAAAAACTCAAACAGGTTTGGACCTAATCAATGGACAGAATTTAAATTTTTGGGTGAACTAACTTTTTCTACACTTTTTTTTAAGTAATATTTTTAAACTATTATTTAAAACACAATAAAAGACCATAAGGACACAAACGGGTTAATAGAATAACGTAATTTTAAATGATCGTTTTTCAATATTCTCCAAATCAACCAAAGTTTAAACAATCTTGTGACAGAAAGCGACCCCAAGTAATTTCCATCCTTGGCAAACACTGCCCTCTGCTGGCTGTTGAGAGGATTAACATCATCTAAAAAATTGAAGCTACACGGAAAGTCCTCAAATCTGATATAAGGTTGTCGGTATCCTCGTTGTTAACTTTAAGTACAGAAGTCCTCAATAGTACTAAAAAACGTAACATGAAAGTATGTTTTGAGGGCAAACATTTGTTTAAAATACATTTTTAAAGTCAATGAGGCCACCAGTTTGTACAGTGTAAAATAATATAAAAATATGTATGTAATAATAAAATATATATATAAAATTACATTAACCCAAACAGCCACAACTTTGTCAAAATGGAAAATTAAATCCACAGGAAGTGGCCTTGGCACTACAGGATGTGTCATCTTTCTCGTTACCCTGCCATATTCTCATCTGTCTGTGATGTTCCATGACAAGAATCGAAACCTCAGTTAAAGTTCGGCTCAGACTGCTAGACTCCAAAACCTGACTCTTTCAACTAAGCCTCTCTACTTTATATAACCCGATCCGGGCCACAATGCAAACAATAACTCCGCCACAAATACATGTTTAAAACGTCTGTCCTTTAATCCTTGTTTCTTTACATTAGCTGAGATTTTGGACACCATCTAAGCATCTGCGGTTCCTGTGATGTGGCCAAACTGATGAAGATCTGTTTTCCACACACCAAAAGTCTGGAAAGTCTCCGTCACAAAACTTCTTTTCACAGCTCCGACTGACAACAAGAAGAAAAACTGGAGTCCTTAACCAAAGGCTATTGTCCTTGTATTACATCAGTGACTTCCTCTCCTAAACTCTACAATGACCACAACCTCCCGTTAATGATTAAAACCCATGATGCTTGGCTGCTGTTTTCCATATGCGTATTATAATAGGACTAAACACAAGACATAAAAGACATGAGGTCAAACAAGCCCGGTCTTTTGAAGAACGAGTGAGATCATACTTCCCCTTCCTCTTAGGTTGACAAATGTGCTACAGTTTCTACACACTTCTTTAGTGGCATTAAGTAAACAAGAGACAAATCTTACCGCTCTTTTTGCAGATCCTTGAAGAACATCTCAGGGCCGGTAGAACAGAGTCAGGAATGAGAGATTGAGGGAAGGAAAGCGTCCAGTGGCATTCACAAGCACACATTGGCACATTTTTGTCGTGTTGGTGTGTGTGTGAGGGAGTCTGGAGGCCTTAACCAGAGATGTTCAATGTTGTACCAGTTACTCCCAGGCGGTAACAGTGGGCTTACAGTTCCCCGCTGTAACACTGGATAAATCTACCGCGAGCCTCCAGAACAATCACATCCCTTCAGCTTCATAGTGGACTGTAAGGCATATTCTGAGTCTCTTTCACATACTGAATTATTATTGTTTTTAGTTAGAGTGTGCTTTGGCTAAAACTCAGGGTTGGCAAATACATTTTTAAAACTCTTCTGTTGTAGTTTTGGTCAGCTTGTGTGAACTGTAGCCTCAGTTAGCTGTTTTTTATCATCAGTGTATTCTTCTGCTTTAGGTTTTGATGGGTTGAGATGCTCTGTTGCAGACTTTGGTAAGTTATTTGAGATGCTGTTGCATTTCTATCAGCTGTACCAGTCTGGCATTTCTCTGACCTCTGGCATCAACAAGGCATTGTTGCCCACAGAAGCACAGTACTACACTCACTGGATATTTTATGTTTGTGTGTATCTATCTCTGGCCATTTTCAGTTTCAAATAAGAGCTGTTAGGATTGTAATAATAGCAAAAATTGATGCTTTGAAAGTACCCCATAAGAAATAATTGTTCATCACTTCAGGTGTACATTATTTTCTAATAATTCAACTGACTGGGCTTGATTATTGGGCTTTTACTATGATTCTATTTCAAGACATTTGTCAGATTTTGTTTCTTAAACCTTTACAGTTACAGGTTCAGGAATCTAAAAGGCAGGAAATAAAGAACGAAGTTGGGCGATTTGGCTAAAATGCAAACTCTATAATTTTTTCCGTTGTGAACAATATCGATAAATTTCAATATAAGTTGTTAATGCTTCCAGCTTTAAAAGTTATCATCCCAACAAGGACAGATGCAACAAAAATTAGAGGGTTCAATAAATTACAATTTAAAATATTGTTCATTAGCAAAAACAGATGACGTGTTTGGCCTTAAAATAAAACAAATAGTAAGAAAGATTTAAAAAGACTAATCTAGCATTACGGGGTAAATTAAATATGCAAAGCATAAAAAATACAGTACAACTTTCAGCAAGTCCACACAAATTGTAAAACTTTAAGTTTTTTTTTTGGTTGATACATTTTAGGTGATTAAACAGGTTGGTTGTGTTGCCATACTTAGTTTTATTTCACAAACCATTGTCATACAGATCGTTTTAGTCTGCTCCTTGTCACACTTTTTAATAGCCGAAACACTTTTTATATAACAGAATTGGTGCTACATTGTCTATCAATAATTTCATCATTTTTGGATAATTACTCAAGGTTCGCTTACTTCATCACTGCTTCCACTCATTTCTTCCACCCATCATTTCTTTATTTTTGTCGTCTTGTTGAATTTGTTAGCAAAGTGCATTGGTCTTTTGATTCATGGTTGTTGCATATTGCTGCTGTGTGTTTGACTCTTAGATCAATATCGAGTGAAAATGTCCAGAGCTCTTCATCGTTATTGGAATAAATTATCGCAATTCTACAATTGAAGTCAGAATTATTAGCCCCCCTGAATTATTAGACCGCTTGTTTATTTTTTCCCTAATTTCTGTTTTACGGAGAGAAGATTTCTTCAACACATTTCTTAACACAATAGTATTAATAACTCATTTCTAATAATTGATTTATTTTATCTTTGCCATGATGACAGTGAATAATATTGTACTAGCTATTTTTAAAGACATTTCTACACAGTTTAAAGTGACATTTAGAGGCTTAACTAGGTTAATTAGGGTAATTAGGTAGGTTAGGGTAATTAGGCAAGTTATTCTATAACGATGGTTTGTTTTGTAGACTATCGAAAAAAATATAGCTCAAAGGGGCTAATAATTTTGTCCCTAAAATGGTGTTAAAAATATTTAAAACTGCTTTCATTCTAGCCGAAAATAAAACAAATAGGGCTTTCTCCAGAAGAAAAATTTTATCAGACATACTGTAAAAATTTCCTTGCACTGTCAAACATCATATGGAAAATATTTAAATAAGAAGAAAAAAATTCGAAGGGGGCTAATAATTTTGACTTTAACTGTAAATGATATTGTTTATTGGCTCAGATCCACAAAGAACCTTTAAGTCTGACCTATGGAACAAAAAGCACAATATAAGATGTTTTTTTTCATTAAAGCAGTGCTATATTTTTCTCCTGACTCATGTACTTTATCCCAAATGTTTCAAATGTTGTTAAAATCCAGAGAAACAAGCTATTTCAAGAAGTGACATGCACCATGTCCTGTCTCACAATGCTAATGACGTCATACACCATTTTTCTTCAATGGATTTCAGGCTTACTTTGCTATACTTACTTCATAGTAGGTTTTGAATACTTCAGCTTATCCATGAACATGATTTCTGTACAAGATTTTATAAAGATGACAACTCCCATGATTTCACACTTCATCATCAAACTATGCATTTGTTTGTTGAGAACATGCCCCTAAATTAGTGCCAAAAACTACATATTTTGACTTTGAAGGATTCTTCAAGACGATGTACTGTACGTAGGCCTGTGTAAAAAAAAAATAAATAAAAAACTCTCTAATTTTATTCATTATTATATATACATATATATTTGTACAGATGATTGTATAAGAAAATTCAAGTAGATCAGTAGTTTTTGAAGTACTCAGAAGTACCAGACCATTGGCATTAACATCAATGCAAGTTCTATCACCATTTTTTTTCCCTTTCTGATGATCAAACTGAGATTCAGCAGATCATTTTGACCACATCTACTTGTCTAAATGCTTTTAATTATATTCCTAAAGGCTTTGTGAAGCAACCAGGACATTTTTCATACAGCATGTTTAAAAATTTTGCATAAAACAAACAAAATAAAGTAAAAAAAAAAACAAACAAAACAGGCAAACTAAACTGAATAAAAGAACACAATAATACATGTTTACCTAAGACACATCTGTAGTATAAAATGGCCAAGAGTCTGTCCTTTCGTCAAAAAAACTCCACCCTTAAATAAAAAGTCTCAGAATATTTATAAGAAATAAACATTTATTGCTTAAAAAGACATAGGCAGCCTATAAAATGTAATGGTTTTGAGTACAGTGCCAGCATTCACTTATGAAACACATTTTATAAAGAGACGAACATACAGTTCACAGAGCTCTAGACGCCTTTGCTTGTATTTAGACTTTGTAACTTTTAATAAAAAAAGAGCAAAATAGTGCTTGTGGTTTTGTCCATACAATGAAAGTCAGTGGCATCCAAAACTACACTGGGTCCCAACTGCTGTACTTTCATTCAATGGACAAAATGCATACAGTAACAGAGTTTACGTTTTTGTGTGAACTATCCATTTAACTCAATACTGATGTGATAAAAATAATGGAGATGTGATAAAATAATGGGCAGTGAGGCATCTGTTAGAGAGCAACTAATCAATGTATATGCGTAGTGCACTCACTAGTATTGGCACCCTTGGTAAATATCAGTGAAGAAGGTTAATGGGGGAAAAGTATTGTTTTAACTTGTTTTAAGATTTCTTGCTTAAAATATGAACAAAGAACAACTAAAGATGCCTGATGCTTTTCGTTTATTTTGGAGGATGAAAGTATTTTTTCTTTCTTGAAACCTTTTTGTGATCTCTTCAAAATCAATTTATGGTGATACACTGTATGTGATTGTAGTTTTGAAGACTTTTTGACCCCAAGACACAACTAATTCTCTAATTTACGACGGCAAATCTCTAGCTGCAGTCTCTATTCTTAGAGATTTTTTGGACTATGATCCTGGGAGTGTGTTTGGACAAGATAAACACATGTCCTTTTCCAGGTTGATTCATAAGACTTTCAGTTGATTTAAAGATTGCCCAGATGGTAGAAAGGGTTGGTTGGGTAAAACTTTACTTAAAGAGGGTGTACATACTGTAAGACATCTTTATAATACATGATATGATACGTCATGAATATGAATGAGATTTTATGCTTGCTTATGCATGCTTGAGATGTTTTTTCTGACAACTTGACATAACTAAACACATCACAACCTGAATTTATCTTTGTCATGAAAACTTGATATCACCAAGGTAACATAATTTGTCATAAATATTTCATAAACATTATTGTCATGAAGCCATTATAAGTGCGTCATGAATATTTTTCTGATCACTTTTCAGCGGAACAATCTGAATTTGCCATTAAAATTAGTCAATAAAAGTGCTATTCGAATCAAATTTAATTTGCACCACTGTAGCTGAGTCCACAAAAAATAGTGATGACGTTGTTATACAATTCATCACAATTTTAATGGCATCACATAATGGCTGTAATGTTTTTGACAGATTTTTAAAGTTATGTTGTCCTGATAATGTCAATTTGTCATAAGGACATTTAAAACATCATCATTGTATTTAAAATGACATAACTATGTGTATGACACTTGTCATAAATATGCACAAAAGCTCATTAATATTCATGACATGTGCCATATCATGATTATAATGACCCCATTACGTGATCATATCACCCCATTTAGTATTATTCAATTTGATCTTCAGAGTCACTAAAGTTTACTAAAAATGTAAAATATAAATGGAAATAAACTATATATAATAAATATTTACAAAAAATATTTTGCTCATTAATTTATAGGGGTGCCAATAATTATTAGCAACTATATTTGTTCAATCTTTACTTAGTTTGTGATTTTGTTTTGTTTTTGCTAATAGTTAATCTACAAAGATGAAAATGTCAACCAATAAGATTTTAATAATGTTCTATGGCCTTCTTTGTCCTTATTTACCAAGGATGTCAATATTAACTCAGGACACTTCATAATGCCTGCATGAAAACAGTTGTGAACAGTGTTAATTATAGTGATAAACTTGAATTAGGTGGGTATGAGTGAATCACACTTTACTCTGCAGTGTCTACAAGATGTAAATCTTGAGGTTTTACTGTTACTGGGGAACACTAGGCCTGATGGGAATTTGTTGTTTGCATGTTTATGAGTATGGGATGAGCTGCCAGCAGACATTAGAGGTGTAAACAGGTCTGTAGTATGAGCAAGAGACACGCAGTGAGCAGAAGAGCGAGGGAATGTTCACATTGAATGGCTGAGTCTTTCCTACAGGCCACGACAGCAGTGGACGTCTGTTCTGACCTCACCTCTGGAGGAGACACAATCATCCCCTGAATCTAACAGACACACAGAGAACATCTTAAATCAAACTGTCAAAAAATCAAACACACACATTCTGATATGGATAAGTTACATTAATCTATGACTTCCTGATCTAAGAAGTTTGTGGTTAGTAAGTTTTATTTTTCTCTCTTCTGCTTACCAAGGCTGCATTTATTAATGTTGATGAGTTACATTTTAAGGCTTTGACCAATTGTGGTGACTAAACAAAGTGGGTTTTAGTAGATGTTCTATTCCATGTTGTTTTTTATAAGCAATAGTTTTCTTTACAGTTGAAACACTTATAAAAAGTTGAAAAACTATGCATTTCAGAAAGTCATTTTATATATTTCAGCACACCGTACCTTTCTGGTATTTATTCAAATTTATTTTGTGCTTCAACTTGTTGTAAAGAAAGAGGCAGAGATGACCAGATTTTGCATGCTTGCTCAGTGTTGCTCCTTTAACTGATGCAGCTATAAATGTCATTTTAGTAAAATTAACACTTACGTTTACTAAATGTCTGATAAAATGACCTAAATTGACACTATAGGGCCTTCTCACACTATGCCATCCGTACCGTGCCCAGAGAAGTGTGAGTGCGCTGAATCGGGCTCAAGCACGGTTCACTTGGCCGGCCCTGGCCCCGTTGGAAAAGGTGTGCCTGAGCGCGGTTCACTTGGGCTTTGGCACGGTACGTTTGTGTGTGAGTGCAAAACGCGCCAAAGCCCGAAACTGAAAGCGACACTTGACATTTAAGGGGCTGTTTCATATAGATTTATTAATCATTCTTTACTGTTCAGTAAACGCAAACTGCCGTAGTTTATTAAAGACGCAAACCCCTCACTGCACGACAGCTACGCGGCTTCAGCAGACCTCCTCATTCCTGCAGCACGAGGGCTTTATGAAAAGTGGCAGATCTGTTCGGCGAAATATCTGACTACGTGTCACGGCATCCCTAAGGACTGTTTGGCGAAATATTTGACGGCATATCAAACGACTGAAACGATATAACTAGAGAAATCTCCACTGTGCTGCTGAGTGAGAGAGTGCTTCTCACTGAACAGCGCAGCAGCGATGACGTAAGCGTGCCGAGGCCCATTTGTGGTGTGAGTGCGGGCCATCGGGGAGACGGGAGGGGGGACAAGTACCTAGTAGGCAACTGTACCTAGTGTGAGTACGGCCTTAGTTTCATGTTATAAGTAACAAAGCAAAAACCTTGTTGTAGTTATTAATTGATTTATTCGGCTTTTTAGCACACATTTGGCCTATAAACTTAACCTCCACTATACTAATGATCTTCTTGTTATCAGACAATTTTAATGACACAGTAAATCCCCACTGACTGCAAACTGTATGTTCAACATGCATTTAGTATCTAATAGAATTATTATTTTTGTACTATGCTTCATCCACGTCAGTAGGTGTCAGCACTCAGTCTAAAATGTCTCAAAGCCCACATATACAATAATATTCAAAACAAGTGGTAACACTTTAGTTTAAACAACAATTCACACCATTACCTACAGGTTATTTCCCGCATATTATTAAGAAATTAATTGTTAATTAGCACTTAAATGTATGATCTTACTTTACATTCCTAATCCTACTCAACACATAAACCAGAATATTACTTCAAAGCCTTTTGAAGGCAAGTCTGAAATTAATTAGCCTAAAAAGCTGAATGGCTAATGCTAATGCTGTCTCTATAGCAGTGTGCAGAAAAAAGCTGTCATCTGATTACCTAATGCCGAGTTCAGACTGCATGATTTTCAAAGTAATCGTGTCACAGATGTTTTCACACAGCATGACTATCTGGGGTCCGTTCTTGTACCTTGCTTAAATGATCTAAGATTATTTGGCAGATCCCGGATCTTTTAATCTTGATAACTGATTTCTCACTAATTTGGTTCTTCAAACGAGTTCGCGGATCAGATTAGAATGTCTGGATAAACTGATCTGAGATCGCTGCGTGTGTTGTGAAGGACAGATCTATCGATCCTCGAAATCATGATCAGCAATGCAACGATTGGATGACGGCACAGCAGCGTAATGACATCATCTGATTAATATTCAATTATCCATGTGAGCAAAATTACGTCAAATTAGCAGTAAACGGCTTGTTAAATATGACACGCAATAACCTTCCACATTTGTTGTGAGCTGCAGGCTTTCCACTTTCATGTGTCAAGTGTATTCATCATGTATTTCAATGCAAATCAATGTATTTAGTTCCACATTTAGAAAAGATTTTCTTTATTATAGCCATTTTGTAATCGGTGTAAAGAATAACTGGTTGTTTACAAAAGTGTTTTCATATTGGTAAAGGCGTCTGCAACTTTTGTGAAGCATCAAATCACCGGCATATTAACTATCAAAACATGTTTATGACTGCTGAAATGTATTATTGCTTTAAAAAAAAGTCACATATTCTGCATTTCTATTATACACAATTTGTACTAAAGCGATCTAAAAAGTTCATATCAATAAGCTTTCTCTTTGCACCACCAGGTGGCAATCTTTGTAGCCTACTTTTATTTCGAGGGTGCAGATTGCACACGTTTTATTAAAATGTATAACTTAATTTATTTTATTAATGACTATAACTTTATATATATATAGTTAAAAATATGTACAATTTTCCCAAGTGTATAACTACTACTGTAAGAAAATATCAGAATTGGGAACATACTTTCTGTATTATCTTTGCTTGAACTGAGCCAATCTAATCCTGTTTATATGAATTGAACCTGCTCCCGATCAGGTTTGACCTAGCAGAACTGTTGCTATGACAACAACTCTCGGATCAGCTTTGAAGAACGAAACGATCCTGGATCATGTCAAATCGTCAATATCCAAATCCAGCTAACTGAGTAATCCACGTACGAAGAACGGACCCCTGGGCTAGCGTTTCGTCGCTGCTTTGTTTACACTGCAAGATTGATCTGTGACAAGGACTTTCACATTGCATGACTTTACTATAGGAAGAATCGCAGACAAGTTCGTCCAAACTACGTCTCACAGCCAAAAACACGTAGTATGTCTTTTGTTATTAACTACACAATGAGAAAGAAGCCTTTAATGGGGTAGAAAATGTCAATATTTGCTTACCTAGGTTTAAAGGGAATTAGCTATTTCTCCTTAACGTTGATAATAAACTAATTTCTTTATGTATGAAACGTCAAACAGACACGGTTGCTCCTGAGTCCTGTCAAACCTGCACTAGTTTTTCCTCCATTTCGTGGGTCCAAATAAACCGAAAAAGATCACTTTTAACTTCTCCCCCAGCCTCCCGCTAGCCTGCAGCAGGTATACACACACGCACACACAAGTGAATGCCGCTCTCTCATTGGCTGTAGGCGATCGCCAATGTTATTTTCAGTCAAAATTCAATTCACACGGTATGATTTGAATCGCCGACAGCTCCAGATATTTAGCATGCCAAATATCTTGCAGGCATCGGCGACTCATCGGCGATTCTCTCAGATCGCGTCTTTGATAGTTCATACTGTGTGATTGTCACTCACATGCACAAGCAGCGATTTGCCTGTGATCTCAGGCATTTGTCGGCAATTTCTCAAAACCTGTCGGCGAGCCAAAATCGGGGCTAAAATCACGCAGTCTGAACTAGGCATAAGACATGCTTCACATGACCAGGTTAGCATTACAGGTTTTCCATTATTAAGCAATACAGACATTTACATCTCCCCCATAATAAGAAAATCTCTTACTACCTTACTGACTATGAATAAGCAGCTAATTAGTAGTTTATTGAGCTAAAAGTCTTAGTAAATGGTTTGTTAATAGCGTGAATTGTACATTAAAATAAAGCGTGAACAAAAAATTTAAGAAAACGTTTGAGCTTGAGGAATAAATCAAAACCACTCACCGACCACTCATCCTGTCCAGTCTTAGAGCAGCGGACATTCATCGGGAGTTTCCGTACAATGTCATTGAATGATTTTCCTTTCTTCATCGTCCATTTGTATTTGTCCATGGCCTCAGTGAAGGACAGGTTACTGTATTTCTTTGGGCTCTTAATCACAAATGGCCAAGTTCTTCAAAGAGCAAAGGAGATGGTTTAGTACGTGTGTATATATCATAACATTGCATAAAAAGTAATAATAATAAAGATGCATCAATGTATTGGCCAATAATCAAGATCAGGTCAAAACCAACCCAGGCTCATTCTGAAAACGTACCTCTATATGCATTTTTGGAGAGCGCCAAATACATCCTATGAGCTAAGTTTTTTTTTTTTTTTTGGTTAGTTTTTGTTTTTGCTAACCCACCAGAGGCTGCTAAGTACGCTTTTTCAGATCATAAATTATTCTCGCGAGTGACATTTGTGCCTGCTGTCCTCGTTTAAATCCACCAGAGGCCGCTGTTGGCTGACTGACTGACCAATCCACTAACCCACCCTCCTCCATTCCTAAACCCAACCAATAGTGTTTTCAAAAGCACAGATTGATTCGCCCACCCACTTCCACAAACTCAACCGGCAGTTTTAAAAAGAATCCAGAAAAAGAAAAGCCCTCTGATTTTTACTACATTTCCAGACTTTACTACATTCTCACCCTGTTATTGTTTATTGTATTTTTTGGATTCTGTTTTTGTCTTATCTGCTTTCTGGAACCATTCTTCACCTTCACCTCTATTCAAATGTATATAGAGCTACATTTGAAAACATCTGATGGTCAGAAGTGACTGTTATTGGCTGAGATATTTACTATTGGTGCATCTCAATCTACATTTGCCAGATTTAATTCAGTCATTTGTTCACCAGTAGTGTCTTTCCACACGATATCACAAGGAATCATACTTTATGTATTTTCAGAAAATTAGCTAAGTTGTACAAAACCATGTGATTTTTTTTATTTTTATTTTTTAATCAGTCATGCTCCCTAATCCAATCACTAAACCCAAACGTCATTTAATGGTAATCAAATTGTACTAAAATGTACTATATGAATGAAATCATACTAATTCATACTGTACAAATAAGCCATTAAAATATAAAGTTACAAATTGCAGTGAGATTGTGTTGGTCTTTATGATACAGTTTTCCATACAGTAACGAGAAACACCATTAAGGCTTTATAAAGGACAGAAAAGCACCTTTAAAGCATTGCAAAATATCACAACATTCCACATCGGCATCAAAAAAAAAAAATTACTGGGTGTATGAAGTCACTTCCTCTTAAATTAATACAGATGTACAAGTAGCATATGTAAAAAGTTTAAGAAAGTTATATTCTCTTATAAATTAAATGTGTCTTTGTCTGTCATTTTCTGTCACTAATTTTTTAAATCTATGCATATAAAAGAAATCAATTTCCTTTTAATTATGCATATTATAACTCATATCAGTACATTTTAAAACTGAATAAATTAATTTCAGGGTTTTTGTTTCTGAATTCTTTGCTATTTACTAGACAAGAGCTCCCCTTGTGAATGAAATTTGAAAATATGTTTATATGTGATATGATTACAACACGGTTGTAATACTTATACCCCATATGACATGCAGTATTTATTTGATAAATATTCTCTCCCTGATTTGCTCTCCCTGATACTCCTGCAAGATAGATGTGTGTGCGATCGAAAGACAGAGGGCGCTTGGGGCAGAGCTTTGAAATTAAATCTGTTTAGAGTTGCCAGGTCTATCCCTTTTCAATCCCTCCTAATTCCAGCATCTGAGCACAATACTGCTCCAAGCCCCAGGGGGTCGAATAAACACACTACACCAGCAGGGTCCTTCAGATGTTCCTCATTGTAGACACACACATACATACACACGCACCCACGTCCATCCAAAACACACATTCACTCGCTCACACGCAAAATCACAAACAAACATGTGCGAACATAACAAACCACACAGCTCTCGTTCTCTATACAAACCAGTGAAAGGAATCTATACAAATCATCAGCGCCCACATAATCTAAAGTCGACTACTAGCAGATGCTCTTGAGCTGTACAACTCTTTTTAAAAAGTCTACTGATTTCTAATAGTGCTGTGATCATATCTTAAAAAGCTACTTTTACTTTAAACTAAGCAATAAGTATTGTTGGAGAAAGGAATATATATATTTTTATAGTTTTTTTATTTGTTATTTTTTAATAAACAATTGTATTTACCCATTGCTTATGGGTGATATATTAAGCAAACTTCTTCTCGAGTGTAATATGACTTGCATCAATGGATCAATGGACTCTTCAGAGTTTGGACGCTCAGCAGTGAATATTAAACAACACTGTACTAAACTAAACTTAAACTCTGAAAACTAGACTGATACTGTTTCAATTTACTATAATCTTCCATGTTAGGCTGCTTTGACACAATCTACAAAAAGCGTAAAAGTGCAATAGAAAAAAAGATGAATTGAATTGCATAATAATGAAGCATTTTTGCAGAAGTAGACTAAAATAACTTTTCGCTCTGCAGCTAAATTTTCTGTTAGCAGAGATGAGTTGAAACTAAACACAGAATATGTGCAGTTGAGAAAGTCTCATGCTTTTAATGTTGTGCAGAGTATATGTAGAAAAAGAGGATGTATGTATGGGTGTGGCCAAGGAGGACAGAAGGATTGACACGTGATGAAATTTTACTATACTCCACCTTTTAAAAGTGTTGGAAGTAATACGTTACAAAAGTAATGTATGACAGTAACGTATTACCTTTTCCTGTGACGCAGTAGTGTAAGAGATTACTAACACATTTTCAGTAATATTTTCCTCAGTACATGTTCAGTAACACTTGCATTACAACAAACTTTTTGCCCACAAGACATTAACAAAAAAACGAAAGAAAAAAACAAACAAACAAAAAAAACGCAGTTCTATTTCCTGGCTATTGGCTCAGCCCGGTTTGCAGTAATGTTAAGTCCTAACACGCAATGGAAAAGCGTCAAATAGATGAAAATGGCAGAAAACAGTATGTCCGCTTGATGAACGTACGTACAAATGACGTTATTTCACTGACAAATGTTGTAAGCGCTGTATTACAAGTCAATAGCATGTGTAATACGAGCAAGCGAATGTCACGCTCTGGTTTCCTCTGTTCTTGGACAAAACTCCTCGCGTGCACTTAAAACACTGACTGCTCTCGCTCCATCAGATGATGCAGATTCACAATTTGTGCCTTGTGTTTCCTTCTATTTTCGTGCTTTTGCTCTCCAGAGATCCTCCTGTTAAATTGTTATCCTAAGAATGCTGATATGGCTTACATATTGCTACACTATTTGCCTACAGGTTAAGGTAAATTCTATAATACATATAGTGTTTCTGAGTGTTGGGTATACTACCTATATTTTAGGCTAGTATTGTTTACAACTTGTTAATGAATGCTTCAGCATACCGTAGTATTAAAAATAATAAACATAACATGAAATACAAAGTGTAGTTTTACTAAAGTAAAGTGTGGTGAATTATAGAATAATAATGTAAGAAAAAAAACTAAAGCACTGGGTAATTTGTTTATATTACACTTGTGTTACCATAGCAACTATAGTATTACCACAACTAATTAATTGAAGTACTTTACTGTAGTAGGCTACTGTTCAAAACACTGTACATGCCAATATGTGTGTTCAGGGGTCCTGTGGAACAGCTTTTCCTCAAAATAAAGTGGATGGCAGGGAAAATGTCCTCCAAAATCTCATCAACAATGTGGAAGACAACAGAGACTAGTTCACTTTATTTTAGTTGCCATGATAAAATGGGATTGGTAGTAAGATTTATTTAAAGAGTGAATAGCACAGTAGGCTATAATACCTTATGAAGTGTTTCCCTATTTTCTATTAGTTACATTTCTGCTTGCGTTAGTTATATTTTTGTTTAAATGTTTTTTATTTGATTAGCATGGTGCATCTTTTGGATGTTTAATAAATGTTTTTAAAATAAAATGTATTCTTTACAGTCAAAGTCTATTCTCTGTGTATTTAAGTGTTTAAAACTGGAAATTTCTCATCATATAACATAAAGCCAACAATGTTATGGTTTATTAGATTAAAAATGTAATATGTAAGTCTATTTTAGTATTTTGGTTATTGTTAATAAATAGTGCACCAATATAAATCATATCAAAAAGCATGAAAAGAAGAAGGAACACAAGACACAAATTGTGAGTTTGCATATAATCTTACTGAGCGAGCAGTTACTGAGAGTGCGCAAGAAAATTTGTGCAAGAGCAGTGCACATTTAAGAGAGCGTGAGAAAATTTGCACGCGAGCAGCGTATATTTGAGAACTCACAAGCAGTTTTGTCCTCAAACAGAGGAAATCGGTGCACGGGGATTATATTGAGAAAGCTATGTTCATCATGCTCACTTTGTGCATGACAGTTTTGTATTGTAAGCCACTTGAATTTAAAGTGAATAAAATAATGGCAACAATAATAAAAGAAAAGAAAAAAACAGCATCTTTTCATGGCATTGGAGTCTATATATAGACCTGTTGAGTCCAATATGAATATAGCCAAGCTATTCAGAGATATTGCCAGATTACCTCTACCATACTTTTAACAGACTTAGATCATTTGTGATTCTGACTGCCATCCTTTCTTGCATTGTCTTGAGCCTTCACATTGCCAATTATATAGTATATTATTAGTAGCCTGGATAGGTCACAGTGATTCTGCTACATCAAATCACTTTCTACTGGTTGTAAAATGCTCTACAGAATTAAAACTTACCATTCTAAAATGACCAAATGTACTGCAGTTATTTTGGTGAAATTAACTAAAACAATATAAGAGTCATGCAAAATATTACAATTCTGAGACAGTAATATTGTAAGGTAAGGGATTACTTTTAAATAACAGTAACAAGTAATCTGTAATGAATTACAGTTTGGAAGTAACTTGCACAACACTGCCTGTTAATATCAGCGGCATATAATAGCTTGAATCAGGAAATTAAAGTTGTTGCGCACCTCCTGAATGTAATTCTTGCTTTGGGGGATATCAGAATTCTGTGAAGAGAATTATTTATTTGTATCCAATAAATTACTAAGATTTTTTACATTGAAGAAAACCTTCTCCTGACCTCTGCATCGA